TGGTGGCTGATCAATAAAGACTTGTTCATTTAACTCACCGTGCAAGAATGCTAATTTTACATCAAGCTGATAGATGGACCAATTATTTTGTGCTGCCAATGCTACAACCAAACAATTGGTGTCATGCCTTGCTACAGGTGCAAAGATCTCAGAATAATCAACTCCATACTCTTGTGTGTATCCTTTAGCCACCAATCGTACTTTATACTTATCAACTTCTCATTTCTCATTCAATTTGGTTTGGTAAACCCATTTAACTCCAATGGTCTTTTCACCGGCTAGAAGATCAATCAACTCTCAAGTGTCATTCTTCTCAATTGCTTCTATTTCTGTGTCCATAGCTTTCTTCCACTTTATATTCTTTATAGCATCATAAAAAATGATGGGATCATTATCTGTAAACAATGCAAGATGAGCAATATTATCATCATCAGATAGTTCATTTCCTCTTACATAATCAGTCATCCAAGATGGTCTTTTTCTAGCCTGTTGTTTATATGAGTTTAATGGTTGATCCTCAATCGACTCACTTGGTTGACCATTCAGCAAAGTATTTCCAGTAGCTTGTACTTCAACATCAATTTGACTTTCTTCATTAGCAACTACATCAACAGGGACATATTTATTTTCTGTATTTTCTGCACTATTCCAATCCCAACTACCGTCCTCATCAAACACAACATCGTTAGTAATGATGATCTTTTGATTTACTGGATTATACAACCTGTAGGCCTTGGAAACTTCACTAACACCAAGAAATACGCATTTCAAACCTTTGTCATCAAGTTCACTTCTCTTCTCATCAGGTACATGCGCATAAGCAAAACATCCAAAAATTCTAAAATGATCAACAGATGGCTTGTGTCCACTCCATGCTTCTTCAGGTGTCATGTTCTTTACAGCAAATGTGGGGCTTCTATTCAAAATATAGACACTCCAACTTACAACTTCTAGCCAAAAAAATTTTGGGATGTTTCTTTTTGCCAACGTGCAACGAACCATATTCATAATAGTGCGATTTTTACTCTCCGACACCCAATTCTGATGTGGTGAATAAGCTGCAGTAAGTTGCCTTTGAATTCCTTGCGACTCACAATAATTGGTGAATTCATGGGAATTGAACTCACCTCCACGATCAGTGCGCAAAGTCTTAATAGATTTTCCAGATTCTTTTTCAACCTGTACTTGAAATCTACTAAATGCCACAATAGCCTCAGACTTTTCTATTAAAAAATGAACCCACGTTTTTCGACTAAAGTCATCCGTAAAGGTGATAAAATACCTCCTTTTACTGTTTGATGTTGGGTTTATTGGTCCACAAATGTCTGAATGGACTAGCTGGAGTGGTTGAATGGCTCTCCATGTGCTAGTTTTAGGGAATGAGTCACGATGCTGCTTCCCAATTACACATTCTTCACAAACTTTGTTCAGGAGGCTGGATTTGCGGGAGTCCTCTGACCATGCTTTTTTGTTGCAAAGCTTTCAATCCACCAAAATACAAGTGCTCGAAACGATAGTGCCACAACCATGTTGTGTCTTTTACAGTTGATACATAACATGCCCCATCAATAAGTTGAGTTTTTGCTTCCAAAGGAAACATACAATGCCATGATGACCTGTGCAATACATCCTTTTTCTGGATGATAAATTTGGCACATTCCCTTTTGAATAATTATAGAAAATCCATCCTCTTGCAGTTGGCCAAGACTAATCAAATTGCTTTTCAATTCTAGAACATAGAATACTCTAGTAATTGTCTGCGCACTTTTACTCAAAAAAATGATAATCTTTCCTTTGCCCATTACACAAATATTAGCATTGTTTCCAAGCTTTACATTTTCTTTAAAATTTTCATCTAATTCAGAGAATAAGAATTTATTACCACTCATATGATTGCTGCACCTAGAGTCCAAGTACCAGACATAACCTGATTGAATCTCATTTTTATTTGTGTAGGCCATTAGAATTATCTCTTCCTCAGTTTCAGCCAAATTCATCTTTGTCTCATTTTCTTTGTAAGGGCATTCAAACTGATAATGACCAAGCTTGTGGCAGTGATAGCATTCAACATTAGCCTTGTCATATTGTTGATTGTGTGTTGATACACGTCCTCTAAATCCACCACGCCCTCTACCTCTTCCAAGAGATGTTGCTCCATTAATAGTAACTTTCAAGGCCTGCTCTTCCACAACATGACTAGTCATCCGCTGTTCATGGACCAACAATGAACTTTGCAACTCATCAATTGAAAGACTATCGATGTCCTTTGACTCTTCAATGGAACACACCACATAATCAAATTTTAAAATCATAGAGCGAAGAATTTTTTCAATGATTGCCACATCTTCCATTTTCTCGCCATGAATTCGCATTTTGTTTGCAATTGACAGTGTTCTTGCAAAGTAATCATTGACCGATTCCCCTTCTTTCATGTGTAGGATCTCAAACTCTTTGCGAAGAGCTTGAAGTTGAACACGTTTCACCCTTTCAGTGCCTTGATATTTCTTTTTCATTGATTCCCATATATCCTTAGCATTATCCTTTTTTAATATGGTTTCCAGTATGGCACGATCTATTGCCTAGAACAGATAATTTTTTGCCTTCAGGTTCTTCAATCTCTGCTCATCGAGAACCTTAGTCTCTGCATCTATCAATGTTGTTCCCGTTGCTGGTTCTGTGAAACCAGTCTCCACAATACCCCAGTACTCTTTGGATCTCAGAAAATTTTCCATTAGCATGCACCAATGGTCATAATGACAATCAAAGCGAGGGATTGTTGGTTGCACAAAACTACTATCTGATGCCATTTGAATGTGCTTCTGCAAGTGAGAAAGCTGCTGCTTCCTTGATGATCAGACCCCTTGTGGCTCTGATACCACTTGTTAACACTAGGTATTGTGAAACAAAAATGAGAGTGTGTTTCTTATTATTAATCAAAAACAAAGAGCTGGCTTATATGGCCTTACATGAAGGAGATAGGAGGAGAAAATTCTGCAGCAACTGATACCACGTCTGACTGACCTAGAGAAGTGGGATATTCCTAAAGAATAGATAAAATGCAACCATTTCCCAAACAAATAAGGATTATTAACAAATAGTTAGACAAAGAATAAATATTTAACAAGAATAGGTTAGAAACTGTCAGTCACAAAACTTTAAAAATGTATCATTTAGTTACCGAACAGTTTTTAGTACAGATAGTCCCCGAAATCAACGAAGCTATTCGGTTAGTTCACTCTCAAGTAAATTTAACGGTTATGTTGAGGTGTCTCATAGTGTTGCTTACAAATTTTTTCATAAAATTGTTTTCTCACGTAGACCAATTTTAATTTTTAATACCCTACAACTTTAGCCACATGCAGTCAGCTAACTCTCTCCGAACTTTAGTTTTGTTAATGAATTTATGGACCCCAAAAACAGCTGGATTGTTCTTTATTCTTAACAAGAAAGCTTGTCACCAACTATAAAGTTCATTGATCTTTTCATACATATGCGAAAAATGGAAGCAAATACAATTGGGCATTTATACGCCTGAACACGTGATATTTTTTTAAATGAGCAATACCAAAATTTGAGTCAAGAATAATACCATGTCAATTTCCTAGCCTAAAAAAGAGAGGCGCATAAGCACTCGTAACTGAGAATGATATAACATAAACACGAGAATGAAATGCATAAAATAAATAGGGGAAGAGTCCCAAATCAATTTTTTTTTTTTTGGGCGGGGGGGTTTAAGGGCTGCTCGCCCCACCTAAGTATCAAAGATGGATTCCACTTTTCTCAACTAGGCCGGGAAAAGAATACGAAATTCACTCTGTTCAACACTGAAAAAAAATACTTTGGATCACTCGACATTTTAACTAGTCTCATCTCGTAAGCTCGAGTCGTCGAGCCTCAGCAACTAGGTTAAATCTTAAATTTTTGAATGTTAACAACTATTTTCTGAATTCCTTTACGTTCTTGTTATCCTTCTTGGTTTTGTGGGAGGGGGCTCCTTCGAGTGCATTTGAAGTAATTAATTACTAATATATGGGCGTCTAATGATGGTATTTCTCAAATTCCCATGGTTTCAGTGTTTTAATTAAAAGTTGATCAACAACGATGTCGGTTTTAGAATTATGTTCTTGTATAATCGTTTTCCTTTCTTAACAGGACATACCTGTAAGTCTACTTTTTGTTAAAACTAATCTAAGTAGTTCAAAATTTGCTTTCAAGATTTGCAGTTTAGGAGTTAGGAGTAATGGCTCTTCGTACTTTGTCACTAGTTGTGAAATGAAATCATAGAGAGTACGAGTCGAATTCAAAAAAGGTTCCTTCGTTTCCTTTGAATCCCTACTTTGAACAACTTTCTCGTGTTTTGACTCGAATAAGAGAACATAATGTGTTCATTCCCGGACGATTGAGATTTTATGTCTAATCTTAGATATATACAGATTTTCTCCACACATGGTCGGTCCTGAAAATTTTTAGGCCCTAAGCGATAAGTTATCATCAGGCCCTTACACATAATTTTTTTACAAGCATATTGACATCAAACATGACTGAATCAAATAGTTTCTCATGATAAGAAATATTATACCTTTGATACTCATCGTTTGATTGGATCGAGAATCAATTTTCATTTTCAAAAAATATAATATAAAAATTTTATGAAAATCAATGAGATATGAGGATGATGCCTACTATTTATTATCAAAAATATCTTATATTTAAAAAAAAAAATTCAAATGCAGCCATAAATTGAAAGACGTTATTGGTAGAAAGATCCCTACTTTATTTGCACTACCATAAAATATATATACAAGAAAATTGAAGAAATTCCATAATAGTTATTTTTGGGCTTTGGAAAACTTTTTGAGGCCCCATTTCATCCTGAGGCCCAAGGCCACTGCCTTGGTGGCCTTGGAGACAGGGAGTGGCCTTGGGCCAGAACCGGCCCTGTCTCCACAGTCAAGCAAGCTGAGCAGAATCTTTGAAATAGGAATTTCTTTAAAGCCATATAAGAAATCGCTCATTAACTCACCATAACAGTGGACTCGAACAACTCATCTTATAGACCATCTACTGTTGCCAACATAATCTACAACTCAGAAAAGAGCCATAAAACCATGGATAGACGAAAACCAGACTAACAATGAACTTGACTATCGAAGCACTACGCAGAAACTTGCATGGAAAAGCAGCAAGCAAATTCTCGGAAACAGATTGACCCTCCCATCCTCCTCGGCTCAAGATCTTTAATGAAATATCGAATCCAGTATTTTGCACAACTTTGATCATTTTGTTGTTTTTGAGTGTTTGATAAGCCAATCCATGACAACATCTATGTTTATGGAATCCTTGCACGAGATCATATAGCAGCATACTTCTCTATCTGTTATCGAACTAAGATCTCTGAACAAAATAAAAACACGAGGAATGATAAGTAATTATTTTCACGAGAGAAACAGAAGATTTAAGCATATTTGGTAAGCTTACAAATAAGTAGAAGTTAAACAAAGTTTTTGTTTCTAATCACGTTCGGATACGTTACTTTTCTCCATCAAGTAAGAACGTTACAAAGTTACAATCCTTTTATGTAAAGATAGTAACTTACTTATTTCAACTTTAGCCGATAATAAAAAAAATTTACTTTAAAACTTGCCTATATACATATAAGCAAGTATTTTAAGCTTAACCAGACATGCTCTAAGACAAGATTAACGAGTGTTGTGCTAACTTACAGCTGATCCACCAGGGCTTCCTTTGAAAGTGCTTCCGACTTGTCAATTTTGTTTCCAAGAACAAGCAAAGCAATGCCAGTTAATGTAGGTTTGTTCACCAGATCATGCAATTCAGTTCGAGAAATAGGAATGCTGTCTCGATCAGCAGCATCGACAACATATCTGCCTCATGAACAGAGAAGAATCAATTCATGTACATGAGCATATTCTTTACAACTCATTAACCAAAAATACTTCACCGAGAGCAAGATAATTGATAGGCTAAAGCTTAGAAATAAGTAAAACATAGTTGTTTCCAGACATATTTAGACAATTTTTTTTTTCTTTCCCAAGTAAAAAAAGATACCATGCCTGGAAGCATATTTCGGTAAGCTTAAAAAAGGTTAAAATACTTTTTGTTTCAAAAATGTTTGAATATGTTATTTTTTCATACTTACTACCATAAGTCAAAATAAGTAAATTACTTATTTTCCAACTTTCATCAATATAAGAACATAGAAGTAATCGCATTGGCCAAAGATTTCTCATTGCTTGAACGCATGCATTTGGCATATAAGAACACGGAAAATCTCATTCCAGAACAACGGCAGAGCCAAGGCTCAGATACTATTGTGTCTAATTCAACTTCGAATTTTTTTAAACACAAAATATATTATTAAAATACAAGTTAAAAAACAAAGAAAAGTCACTAAATTTTTTTTTCCTCAAATTTCAGTGGCACCAGGACCCTAGACCCCACTTTCCCCTACATCCATCCAACATTGTTCAAAAATCCCTCTCGAGTAGGTATTTCAGGATATACATATTCTTGCTGCGACTGAAATAAATCATCAACTGCAAATATTCCATATGATGCCCAACGAATTAAGTTTTGGAGGTAAAAATTACAGTATAGCAGAGACACCGCGACAGTAGCGCTCCCACATGGAGCGAAATCTCCGTTGCCCTCCCAAGTCCCAAAGTTTTATGGTCACATTTCCTTTTGTGACTTTACGCATATTAAATCCCACCTGTTATGGAGATACTGTTAAGAATAATTATTGCAAAAGATCAGGCAGTTCCATCCATAAAAAGGTCAACTCAGTGAATGTTTGTTACATAGAATTAGATAGGACTGCAGTGTATAATGAATAAGATTTTAACTTTTTTATTTCAATAATATGCAGTGTTATCTAACCCTCCATACCAAACATGTCATAAGATACCTACAGTTGGAATCATGTCTTCACTATAGCCTCCCGTCTGATAAAAACACAATATCAATCAGTATCATGAAATCAGATATCACACCCACGCACACAGAGCAATGTGAAAAGGTTTGATGTTCACTAACTGCAATGGCATTAACAAGTGAAGTCTTTCCTGCATTTTGAAGACCGACGAGGGAAAGTTCCATTTCCTGTTTGAAGAATAAGCTGACAGGGGAACACAATAAGAGACAGAAAAAAGAAATGTATACATCAAGAGTGTTATATTTTATTATAATATGCATAATAAACACACAAATAAATGAAGACCAACATCCTTTGACTTGCACTGATTTCTTTTACCAGATAAAAGGACCACATTAGTTTAAAAGCAAATGCTTCAGCACATCCCCAAGACTTGGATACCATTTGAGGTGCTTAGTTGCTCAAGACAAATGAGCATACACAGTTATTTAAGAGAAGATCTACACAGAGGATTGGAAGTTATCTCCTCTCCTACTCTTACTGTTTATACCTCAAATATTACACAGAAACACAAGTATGAGCAAAACATCCTCGGTGCTCAATAATTCACCATCTAACAAGGTGAACGTCCCTCCAAGACAAGATTTCTTTTTATCTTAATACTATCCCAGGTCTAATCTAAAATACCAAAAATGTGATAAAAGTACAAAACTTTCAGCTGAATAGCTATTTTTCAATCCACTTTTAATTATTGCACAACCAATTTAATCAATTCTCAATACCAATTCCCTCTTAGTAACCTTCTTTTCCTCCCTAGACTTCTCTTCCAGCTTATCAGAAATTCAAACGACTCGTAATATGCAATACAAACTATTACACCATAACATCAGTAAACATAACAACATGTTTAAAATTGAAAAAGGAACCAACACAAATTTGTAGAAGAAACCTCATAATAAATAAATAATACTAATGAAAAAAAAAAGAAAGAAAGAAAGAAAGAAAGAAAAATAACCTCCGGAGCCAGTTGAGAAAGGAATCCCACAGACCCATGTCCCAAATAAGAGAGATTTTTTGGTGGAAAAATCAATTAAAATGAAAGTTTTAAGAAAGACCGTTCAGGCTTTCGCAGGTTCCTGAATGATCAGGCGGCAGAAAGAGACAAAGAAGTTGAAGGGAAAATGAAAACTTTGCCGACTGAAATGAGAATTTCATTTGTGTTTCTTGATACTGTTAGATATAGTTTTGGTAAATTCCAGACGTCATAAGTAAGGGAATTAGATTTTCTTTTCGTTTTTCTAGTTTCTTTGATTTCTATTCCTTAGCGTAGAATTCATGCCAGAGGTACCAATAGAGTGAATTTAGCATATTTCCAGGAACAATGGTGATAGGTCTTAAATCTTTGGACAATGCTATTAGTATCGAAAGTTTTCGCAAAATTGTTTGACCCAGTTTCATTGAAAGATGGATAAATAAAAAAATAAAAAAGGAAAAGAGGTGGGGGAGCTGTCAACACAGCATCTATAAAATGTAAAAACCTCTCAACCATTCCCTTTACATCAGGAATTATTCTAGAACCAAGTTACAGGGTACAGAAAGAAAACCCACAATGTTTTACAAACTATTCAAAGTGGTTGGATCGACATTTTTTTGGCCATTTTTTAATACATTGGGGGCCCATATGGGCCCGGCCTCCATGAGACTCATCTGTAGGACCCTTATGAATTTCTCTTCTGTACACCCAATTTAATTCATGGGAAGGGTTCATAAATCAGGTGTTAACTACGCCCAATTCAAAATCTAGGTTACAAGTTTCTTTAGTGCAAAAATCAGGTTTTAGTTAATTAATTAAAAATATTTATTAAATAATGATAATAAAGCCACAGTTATACCATTCATGGTCACATATTCACAATTATAGGTCACAGATTTTATTTATCGGTCACATATCATCAAATTAATTGGTTACAGATTTTTTCGATATCACAAATCACAATTTTGATAAGTCACAGATTATGTCGAGGTCATAGATGAAAAAATTATAGGTCACAAATCCAAAAAATTATAGTACCAGGTCACATATTTTCAAATTTGATAGTCACATATTACTTTTTTTAGTCACAGATGATCGAGTTTTAAGGTCACAGGTCAAATAGCCGATCACCACCAACTCCACTGCCACCATCGTCACTTGCAACCACCATCACCTCGTCACCGTCGCCACCGCCAACACCAACACCAACTCCAACATCAACAAAATCGACGTAACCAGATCCACCGCCATCACCAAACACATAAAAAAAAGACCACCATCGCCGTCTGAACCACACCATCGCCACCTCCAAATCCACCACCAACACTGTCGCCACCAAAAATACGAACATCACCACACTGTACCACACCACAACACCCACATAGCACCAACAAAATCGGCTTCCACAAACATAGAACTCACATCACATGCCACCAACTTCAACCGGCTTCCATTCACACCGTACCAACAAATCGACTTTTACACACTTCTGCGCATCGAGCCACTGTTGCATCGCCATCGACTAGCTAGTCGCACAGCGCAACCACGATGACGCCGCTGTGAGTGCAGACTCCGCGGCGCTCAGATCGATGAGTGACGACTTCGATCGGCCAAAATTGCTCACAACACTGTCTGCGAGGGCGCCACACCACAGCAACTATGCCGTCGCTCGACTCTCACGTCTCCGGCGGTGGTGCTCTTCAACGATGATGAAGGTTTGAGGATGAAGAGGGTAGAGAGGGAGAGACGGAGACGGTGGAGAGAGAGACAGAGGGAGGCAAGAAGTTAAAAATCTGAGGATATGGAAAAATGATTAGGGTTTGTTTGGATTAGGTAGTGTGGGTATAAATAATACATGATTTCTGATTAAAAACATTTGCACTTGATTTTTGCACTCACATTTTTAAATACCAGGAATCCTGTAATTTCCTCTTAATTCATTATCCTAAATCTTTAAGCTATAACAAATACTTCCAAAATTTTAAAAAATATGTTGTAGAAGGACCTCTGAAAAGTTTGACCAAAAGTCAAGAGTTTGACCATAAATTCACTAATTTTAAAAATTGTAAAATGATCTTTTAAGCTTTAATTAATTAAAACAAGGAAATTGTTCGATGAAATCACTAATTTATTTTAACCATCAAGGAAAGAACATCGAGGTTCATCTTCATATTTGACAAGATTCACTAAGCCAATAAATTCATTTTGCGTGCTGTCGTTATATGCCCTTCTATATATTTCAAATTTACAAGCCTCCTAATTATTGTTGCTTTAGTTGTACGAAACCTGGTTGTCCGAACATGGTTGACAACCATGTTTTGGAGCCATTGATATAAAAAACAGATTTTAACAATTTTTTAAATGAATAAATATGACGTTTTCAACAAAAATTGTACATCTAACATAATTTTATTCTTGTACATGCTCTCTAACCTTTTCTAATCGCCGTCGGCTTTCTTCGGCAATATGATGAAAAATACAGTGTTCGACTCAATGTATGATCATACATCTGCTTTCATCTTCAATGTTTTTCATTAATCATCTGACCATTTTTCCGACCTTAGTGTACCCTTAATTAGCTGAAATAAATTGTTGTAGGATAACAAATCTTGCATCTTCTGTATCCAAATTGAGTAATTTGATTAACTCAATTTTATCATCCAAAACTAATTTTCTTCCATTTGATTACACAAGAAACAATAATCTTTGAGACAGCCGGAAACCAGTCTCTAATACTACTTGTCGAAAAATATTCTTAAAGTATTCTTAAAAAACATTTTACAAATACCAGATTTTTCAACTTTCAAAAATAACAACAGGTCTGGCCTAATTTCATCCAGTTGATTTGGGGTTGAACATTGGCTAAAGTTATCATCATAATTGAGGTAAATGGATATAAAGTAGTAATATCACGAGTGACATTGTGATTTTGATATAACGATGTGAGGGAGTGAAAATAAATAAATAAAAACAATATCTACGAGTTTTTTGATTTTTTGATTTTTATTTTTGCTTTATTTATTTATTTATTTTTTTTAAGGGAGATGAAGACAAATTTAAGCATTCGACATTATCCTTTCATGGGTCAGCTTACCGGGACCTGTACGTGATCTCCTCTCAAAGTCGTGTTAGCATTTCTATTGTACCTCAACAATTTCTAATGTGTTGTTCATGGTTCTCAAAGGTTGAACCCCAATCTTGAGGGCTCCCACCGCCTCGTTCCTGGAGTATCGTGAGAGAGGTAAATTACGGAACGTGCACCAGCAAATTAGGGAACCAGAGTTTATTGAGGGGCCGTATCTATGTTTCATAGGGTTTGAGGTGAATTTTAGAATTCAAGCTCCTAAATCGTAGTAAGTAATTATATTTTTTTTAATTTATAAAAGTTTTACGGAAGTAAATTTGTTAACTTAAAATCAACAATAAAACAATAAATAAAATAAAATATTCAAAATTTTATATTG